ATGTTCTCAGTAGTCCTGCAGACCTACAAAGTCCGCCAGTATTAATTAATTCATGAAAGGTTTATGGAAGGGGGTAGATCATCTTCATCTCCTTTTCTCATGAGACTGTCAGCATTGTGAGATCATGATGCTGGTAAAGAAGACAACTTTCGTGGTTCCCTGCAGTGAGGGAAAGGCTGCCAGGTGGCTCCCTGCCTGTTAGACACTGGGAACAGTGAGGAGCTTGTTTTTTGGGAGAAACCCATGGGAAGTTTGGCTGCTGGAGTTCCTTGCCTTGGGAACTATGTGGTCACTAATTCTATGCATGAGTCTGAGTTATGCAAACTCCTTGCTGAGAAGCTGTATATTGTACTTGTGCAGCACCCAGCTGTGAGGGTAGCAAAGCTATGAAATCTGATTTGCCTGGGGGTCGGGAGGGGGGGGGAAGAACTTATTTTCTAGATGATACAAAATTCTGTTTCCACCCCAGCTGAGCTTTAAACAGAGATCAGGGTCCCTTGTTTCTCCTGAGCTGGCACTGATGTTGCTCTAGTGTTACCGTGCCCAGTCAGGGCAGCCCTTTCTACAACTCTTACCTTCCATTGATTCACTGCCAGAAACAGTGATACTTGGCTTCTGAATTATTTGGTGCAGGTGAAATTAAGTTTCTTAAAGATTGTAGCATGTCTGCACACATGCGTGGCATGCTTGCTCTTAGGCCAGCGCATGTGTACAATCTAGCTTGAGCTTCAGTGCCTGAGACATTAATTTGGTCTTGCTTTCTGTTGCGCGCCCAGTGACAACTCTGCGTCAGCGTCTGCTGCAGCCTGACTTGCAGCCGATCTGTGCTTCCCAGCTCTACCCACGTCATAAGCACCTCCTGATTAAACGTTCACTGCGCTGTCGGGTAGGTAATTAAATACAGAAAAAATGCTTTTTCTAGTCTTACAGAACTTGGATTGTGGGAAATGGGCTGTGTATTTCTATTTAAAAAGAAACTGCTCAAATGCTTCTAGTTGTTGAAAGTTCTCAACCAGATTGCTGGTAACAGCACTAGGAGATGAGGGAGGCTGTCGCATCTCTGACGTGATGAAGATGTGAAAGGGAGGCAACAGTGTCAAAGATGCGTAAAGATATAAAGGCGGGTTTGCGTAAGGGTCTGTGTGCTCTGCCTAGCCAAGGAATCATAGAAGGCCGCCAGTACAGTCGGAATTAAAAAAATTCTGCTATTACTAAAGACAAAAATCAAGTCAGCAAACATTAGAGAGAGGCGGTGCAGAATACTGAAGATGCCCTTAGGGTGAAGGCAGAAAGAGGATATTTCAGAGAAGAAAAGCAGAGAGCTGGGAAGTGGAGACTGGCAAGAATTAAATCCAAGTTCTGCTGTTGGCTGACTACATGGACTTTAAAAAGCTGCTTGCTTTCTCAGTGGAACAGGGATATTTATCTAGTTCCCAGAGTAATAGAGCAATATTCTTGTAAGTATTTAAGATGCAGAATGCTTTGCAAATGCAGAATACTTTCTCAGAAATAATTAAGGTCAGGCTGAGCCTGTGTTTTGAAGAGTAGCTTATGAGGAGATCAGTCTTGAGTTCCAGCTGTGTGGTTTTTTAATGGTTTCTGAAGCGTAAGTGTATTGGGTCTGGCTGGGATGGAGTTACTCTTCCCCATAGCAGCTCTCATAGTGCTGTGCTTTGTATTGGTAGCTGGAAAGGTGTTGATAACACACCAGTGTTTTGGCTACTGCTGAGCAGTGCTCACACAGCATCAAGGCTGTCTCGCCAATGTTTTCCCCCCTCATGAGTAGGCTGGGGGTGGGCAAGATCTTGGGAGGGGACATAGCCAGGACAGCTGACCCAAACTGACCAAAGGGATATTCCATACCATATGACGTCGGCTCAGCAATAAAAGCTGAGAGAAAGAGGAGGAAGGGGGCACATCCGTTATTTACATTTGTCTTCCGGAGCAACTGCTATGCATACCGAAGTCCTGCTTCCTGGGAAGTGGCTGGACATCGCCTGCTGGTGGGAATTAGAGAATAAAATCTTTGTTTCCCTTTTTTTTTTTTTTTTTTTTACTTCTGTGTGCAGCCTTTGCTTTTGCTTTTGCTTTTTTTTTTTTTTAATTAAACTGCCTTTATCTTGACCCATGAGGTTTTTTTGGTTTTTTCCCCATCTCATTTTCTCCCCACCTGTCCTGCTGAGGAGGGGAGCAATAGAGTGGCTTTTTTTGTGCC